CAGGGTGGTAACAGTCCTCTCCATGGACATAGACGCAGCGGTTTTACAAAACAAAAGTACAGAGCTTTTTGTTCATCTTCATCAGAAATAGTCTTTGAAAATCTTTAGCAGTTTAGAGAAACTTCTAATTCCTACATTTATCCCGGTGTACCACCTTCCACTACTAGGGCTGCATGATATTGAAGAAAAATGCGATATTCAGTAACTTATTAAATAATGCGATATGCGGTACAATAATGTTATAAGTGTGTAAAATCAATTTAAGTTATATATATATATATATATATATATATATACATATTTCCATATTTGAAAACTGAAAATGACATAACCAACATATATGTTTCATGTGCTTTTGAGGAAAAGAAAACATTCTCTGGTATCTGCGTCACCCTAAATTGTTGACTTTTCATAACTTTTTGAAGTATTAAACTCATTCAGTTATCGCAAGCCCTTACGATATGCATATCGCGATATTTACATTTGCTATATTTCAATAATTTCAATATATTGTGCAGCCCTAACCACTACAATGCAAAACTTTTTAAAATTGTTTTAATTCTTGCCCAATTTATCTACCTCAGCTTTGTACAATCTATCTATCTATCTATCTATCTATCTATCTTAATGATTCTAGATCAACACTAGTTCATAGTAGCTCACAAAACCTTAAATCCAGGTTTGCTCTTCATGTGCGGTTCTCAGGGATGGAAAATTCTTGAGTAATTGTACTTCGTTACTGTAATTAAGTACTAATTTGGAAGATTTGTGCTATTGAAATTGAATACTTCTACGCTTACTCGAGTAAAGTTCCAAGTAAAAACCAAACAACAAAAACATACTTTTTACTCTTTACATTTTCATTTAGACCTTTAACCTCAAACACCATGAGATTTTTCCTTTTTTCCATATTTTTTTCTTTGTTAAATGATGTCTTTTGCTGGAGTTACTGATTCATGTGATGAGGGATGCCTTATTTGCCTCGGATGTAAAAATGAAATATCAGACTTTGAAATTCGGCATCAAATCTAAAAAAGTATGTTGAGTTGAGTTAACTTTAACTTTGGTAAATTAGCTAGCTAGTTTAATTTCACTAGCTAAGTTAAATCATCTCACTAGTTCGGTTTTGACTTTTGCTGAAGTAGATTTTTGCCTCCTCTACTTTTAGTTGAGTAAGATTTGGACACAGTACCTGACTTTTATTTAATTACAGTTTCTCTTTAATTTTTCCACCCCCGATGGTTCTCAAAGCTGTCTGATATATCACCACGTTCTGTCCTTTTCTGGGTTCTATGTTTTTCCTCATCATCTCATTGTTGAACACAGGCTGATGTTGTCACATCGCCAACTCATCCTGACATCCATTTTGCATGTTTCTCAGACAGGAGCTATGAATATTCACAATGATGCACAAGGCCAGGGATGGATGAGGCAGAGGTAGTGACAGAGACAGAGAGAAAGAGAGAGAAAGAGATAGAGAGAGAGGATTAGCTTTGTTCATGGTAAGCAGAATCGGTCATGGAGATCGATGGAGCGGCAGCAGAAGGGAAGCGAATGACTGTAAAATAGTTAGTGAGCAGAAGGAGGGCGTCTCTTCTCCCCCGTGTTTTCAGGCTCGGATTAGGCACGGTATCGGGCGACTGAGAGAACCCACACTGGTCCGACCGAGACTGGTGCCACTGAACCCCAGGCTTGCCGAGGGGAACGTCTCCGGGCACAGATGAGGGTCGCAGGGAGCCCAAACCGCATGCCAACTTTTCATTCTCCTCTTTTCAGCTTCAGAACAGCGAATATTCAAATGCTGCTCTCAGCAGTTTCAGATTGTGGCTCAGGGACTGAAAGATAAACGATTGTAACAAAAACTGGTGTGTGCTGATTAATTAAAAAAAAAAAATCTTTCGCTCTTGTTCACAAAATCAAATCGGACGTTATTGCCAATGGTATTCTAGGTATTGCACTGTTTTCTGCTTCTATAGAAACGCATCAAAATATGACTTATTGGCTTTCAGTTCTAGTGAATCACCTCTCGCTTTGCTAGGCAACGGTTGTGACAACAAACAGTCATATTATGTGAGGAATACAACGTGACGGAGCATGCTGTTATAGGACAATAGTGTGAAAAGTTTTATTCCTCTTATACCACAGCAATTTGCCAATAGTTATGAATTTTGATGATTAATAAGTCTTTTTTTAATCCATTTATAGTGACACTTAATGTTGTGGAACTTCCAGTTATCAGTTGTGTATAGCAGCTATAAACAGTCATTGCTTCAAGTTAATAAGACCAAAAGAATTAGCTCCTCAGTCCTGACACTGGAGACTCCTTCCATAAATGTTAAATAGGCATCTCCTTACAGAAATAATACATTGTTAATTAGCACTGCATTTGTTTCATTTGTTTATTAATAGATACAGTTCGTTCCCCATGAATGAGCTGTTACTATAGAAACGATAACATATTAGAGTGAGCACATTAACATACAGTACCGTGCAAAAGTCTTAGTCAGCCTATTTTTTTTTTAGCACAAACTTTGTTATAGATTTTTATTTTATGACTTCTGCATTATTGATTTAGTACATAAACATGTTAGATTCCAAACGTTAGTTTTCCAGCACAAAATGAAATGTTACAGAAAAATGTTTTTATGTCAGTAAAGAAAGCAGCAGATTACATAAGAGACACTTTTCAAATAAAAACATAATGAAGGCTGCTGGGTTTCGCTGCAGAAATAAGAAGCGAGTCGACAGTCAAAGTCTCCAGAAGAACTGTGGCTGCTTCTGCAAGATGCTCAGTAACACTTACAGCTCATTTCCTTATAAAACTGCACAAATTGTACATGAGACTACTATTTTTTTTTAAAAAGCGAAGGATCGTCACACCAAATATTGACTTTGTTTCATTTATTACTGTTTACTGCTCTTTATACTATTTTTTTTAATGTAGAAACATTTAGTTTCATTATTTTTGAAGGCATCTTTACTCTACAGCATTTCTTTGCATGTGCCTAAGACTTTTGCACAGTACCGTATATGCCTTTAAATTTGCCTATTTAAAGCTACGATGTGCAGTCTAAATGATTCTAGCCCCTCGATAACATAGGTTAAGTCCTCTTGTCCCATTGTTGATGTGGAGAAAGATTTTGTTCATTCATTCGTACGGTCGTATCAGCTGGGGTCACGCTGCTCTGGCCGCCTGTTAAGCCTTGATGGTTAGATGTGAGCGGCTCTTTGATGGAGAGGACTCCTGGAATGTGTACGATACGATCAGGAAGTAAGTGCTTATTGGGATCAGAGGGCTTTCTGGACGTCAGACTTGATGCCAGCAAAGCAAGAGGGTCTCATCTTATTTTCCTGGAGTGCTCCTGGGTAAATGCACAACTCTGCTTCCTGAGTCGAAACACTATTCCACTCTGCTCTTCATTAACACTTGGTCTTCAGGAGGACTTGCAGCCGTGTGGTGGAACCACCAGCATTTTCCCTTATGTGGGGTGACATTGTGGTTTGATGAGTTGAAGTCATCAGAGATGTGTCGGAAAAAGGACATGGTGTCTGCTGTGGTTTTGGGTTGGTATTTGACTTAAAAGTACAGACGTGACAAATTCAAGGAAAAACCAACATGTGGTTGTTGATTGAGTGTTCGTGACATTCTCCGTCACCTGAGGAATAGTTGCTCTTCTGCTTGTTTTTTTTAAATAACACATTGCACTAATGCAGGATCATCATATTTATTGCTGTGAGCTTTAGACCGCCAAGCTTAAGTCTAAATGCAGATGTTGTATGTCATATATGTAATAAAACACCTGGGGGTGTGCTGTTATAGGAAAATAATCAACAATGGTGTGGTGTCATGAAGCAGAGTTACTGTTACAACCCAAAGTCAGTTATTTTCCAACAACAGTGCATCCCAAAGTGTTTTTTTATTTTTTTATTCTATTTTTTTATTATACCACAGCAATTTGCCAAATTACAAATTTTTATTTACTAAAGAATGACACATCATACTTTTCATCCATTTATAGTTACATTTCATATTGTGGGACATCCACAAGACCAGTTAGTTCCTGCTATCAGTTACATTATAGCAACACTGAAGAGTCATTCTTGTCATGTTACAGAGATCTGCAAAGAGCAGGCTAACTGACACTGGAGACTCCTTCCATAAATGTTAGTTAAATGTCTAATTACAGAAAACTTCACCACATTATACACAATTACACATTTTTCTTTGTTAACAGACATAAATATGATGCATTTTTTTATTAGCCTTAATTTATGTGGAGCGTCCGCCATTCAAGACTGTGTGTTACTATAGAAACGATAACGCATTAGAACGAGTGCATTATTATAATAATATATTAACACTATTGTCAGAGCTGCAGTCATAGAAAATCAATCAAAACACCTTCTGACCAATCAGAACTGAAAATTCAGGAGTGCTGTGGAATATTACTAATATTAAATGGAATTTTAATATCAGTTACATTTCCTCCTGTAATTTGTCACCCTGTCCGTAGGTTTCAGATTCAGGAAAGGTCTTTGTTCTACCTGTCTATGATTCAAAAGCCTGAGCGCTCGCTTCCTCTCCGATGAGTCAGGAGCGTGGTTTAGAAGTGAGTTTTAAACTCGGTGTTTAACCCCAGCACCCCGGATGGATTAGGAAGACATCTGTGCTACAGCCTGCATTATACACAGTTTCTCATGCTCAGGCTATTATAAATGCCCAACTTATTCTTACACCAAGTTAAAGTTTTAAGTGCAAACAGACATGAGTCACAAAGAGACGGTGCACATCCTCTTCTCAGAAATTGTGAGTAAGAGAAGCACAGTGGACACAGAAACCATCTCAACCGCACTGAGGACATCATATAGTCATCTAATCTCTTTTAGTCGCTTGTTCCGGGCAGCCTGCGATGCTTCATTTATGGCATTTGACAGATGCCCTTATACAGAGGAGTGGTTTAGGGTTAAGGGCCTTGCTCAAGGGCCCCGCAGTGGCAGCTTGGTGGTGCTGGGATTTGAACTCACAACCTTCCGATCAGAAGCAGACTGTCTTAACCACTGAGCGACCACCACCCATGCTGTAACTGCTTTCAGGATGAGAAACTATATAAATCCATAACCATACTTCTCTCTATTTTTAGAAAAATAATAAAATTAATTCTAATTAATAAAATTAGTAAAAATAATAAAATATAACCTATTAAACATACATAAGAGTGTTATTATGCTTGCTTATAAGTGTGAGTAGAATAAGTGTAATAAATGTGTTATTATACATGAACAACCAAGTAAAAGTGACAGTGAGTGATGTGATGTGTAGCAACTGACCTGTTGTCAGATTTTGCTGTCCTTGGATATTGTTACTAAGTTATGTAACAAAAACTGGCCAAAAATTCTTGTTATAGGAAATAATCAATGACAAGGTGGTGTAATGAGGCTTGACACCAATCACGAGTTACAGAGTTGATTATTTTTCTATAACAATACATTCTGAAGTGTTTGATTCTTCTTAATTGATTAACGAACGACACTTCATACTTTTTATCCATTTATAGTTGCATTTAATGTTGTGAAAGGTCTGCTAGAAAAGTTAGTTCCTGCTATCACTTACGTTACAGCAGCTATAAATAAACAGTCGTCCAGCGTCTTTTTTTCTCTCTCTTGAAGTTAATAAGAAGAAGAAGTGTAAACTCCTCTGTTCCGACTGTTACAAAGCGCTGGAGACTCCTTCCATCAATTATAAATAAGCGTTTCCTCTCCAAATATTTCAACCATATGAACAATTACGAATGTTTTTTTTTTTTTTACTATAAACTTGATTTGCCTTGTAGCCAGAACTATTGCCAGAGCTGCTGTTATAGAAAATTCCTTCTATCCAATCAGAATTGAGAATTGAACAGTGGTGTGGTATGAATGTTGTCTTTTCCCTCACAACATAAAACAGATGGGTTAAAAAAAATACACTTTCTGATTCTCCTCGCACTGATTAGCATTCATAGCTCATTCTTCATAATCGGTAAATGTGTTAAACTTTATTTAGGTGACACTGTGTAGACTGCATGAGCTCAGAGCTTCGTAATGGCTTTATTTTGGGAAGGGAGAACGTGTTTAGCTTGCCGTTTCCCGTTCACCCCCTCCCGCCTGTGTGTCTGCACTGGCTGCCTCTGATGGGGCTCATGGGGCCTGGCGCACTTCGGCTGCTGAGGAAATGAGTTTTGCCGTGGATATTTATCACCACGATCATCGGCATGTGCTGCGAATCGGGAGGAGGAAAAGCGGCTTGGCGTGGGATCTGTCATGGGAGGCTCAACGTATATAAGAGAAATATTCACCCAGCCGCTGTGATCAGCACTGAAATTGGGACCTGATGTTTCTCTGTGGGAACCACCAGCATTGGAAAGAAACTCCCATGTTGCATTGCAAGGAGCGGTCCTTGTTTCAGTCCTTGTTGGTCCGATCTCCAGAGCATTCATTTGAGTGAATAAACACCATCCCGAGCATTAAAGCACTTATACCACAGCACGGTTGAATTCTCAACTCTGATTGGTCACAAGGTGTGCATTATTTCTGTATAACCGCACGGCTCGGACAGTAGTTCCGACTGTAACATGAACGATTGGTTTATATTAATGTGCTCGTTCTAATATGTTATTGTTTCTATAGTGACAGCTCACACACAGGAACTTGTATGGCGGACGCTCCACATAATATAAGAGTAATAATAAACAGATTTTAAAAATAAGTTGTTGTTTAACAAAGAAAAAAGTATGATCATTGATGTGTTCTTTTTTTTTTTTTAGACATTTATTTAACATTTACAGAAGGAGTCTGGGTGTCAGTACTTTCTAACAGTCACAGTGCTTTCCCAGTACAGGAACGTGTTCAGGACAGAGGAGCTTACGCTTTCCAGTTTCTCGGTGAAATAAATAACGAGCTTTGTTTTTTTGATAGCGAGAGAGAAAAGGAGATGCTGGTGAGAGACTGTTTATCACGGCTGTAATGTAGGTGATAACAGGGATTAATTTGTCTTGTGGACGTTCTACTACATTACAACTATAAGCCATTAAAATGTGTAAACTGTTTAAAATTAATAAAATAAACTTTGTAATCGTTGGCAAATGACACACTCCAGACTGTGTGGTTATTCTGAAACTGTGCTTTGCGCCGTGCCGCATCACACCACCCTGGCGTGGATTAGTTTCATATAACCGTACAGTCTGTTGCATGGTAGTTTTCACCCCTTTGAACTTTTCCCCATTTTGTAGTGCAACAATCTGGAACTGAAATTGACTTAAAACTTACTTAAATGCAATCACAACTTTTTCCATTTCTTGTAAATAATTTAGCAAACTATATTGATTTTCCCTCTCATGTCAATACTATGAGTTATTTTGTGTAGACTCATGACATCTAATCCCAAAAGTCCATTACAGCCCTACAAAATGTGGAAAAGTTCAAATACTTCTGCAAGCCACTCTAAGTGCAGAGCTCTTTTGGCCTTTTTTTTGGTATTTTCCACAATAAATCCCTCCTCAATTCTGATCCACATAATCCTGATCCCTTCTCCATGACAAATGGATGTCGTACCAAAACAAACGTGAAAATATAGAAAAATGGCACCAGATAAACATTAAGTGCTTGTAATCAAGTGTGAACCACATCAGCATTTCCAAAGTCCCTATATCCTGATGGTCCTCCAAAGGGCTGAAGTGTGCGACAGATGGAATAAAGGTGTGTAGAGGAAGGATAAAATGTTCCTCAGTGTCTCCCGTAACGGCGTCAGCGTGGACACAGGAAGGCACTGAACAGGGACATGGCACAGGAAATGATTTCAGAGCAGAAAGCAGGATGGTATATGTGTTGGGTGAACTTCAGCTGAGTCCAGTTTACCTCAGCAGAGCGCAGATTGGACTCAGGTTCATACCATAACTGATAATTCAAGTTTTTTTTTTTACTTAATGTGTAGTTCAGAAACAAATTTTAAATTAATGCAGTAATACCGACTATGGGAAATGAATGGGACCATGATTTTCTGGTTAGATGACAACTGTGTAGCTAGTCTTTATCCTCTTTTGATAAAGTTTTCGATGGAGCACATTGTGTTTGCGACCTCGACAAGTGTCAGGATGTTTTGGCTATGAGCTGCGCAAATATAAATGTTATTCGAGTCTATTTATTTCCTCTCGATATGTCTAACTACGTGGTAACTGTGTCTTGTGTCTTGCCTGGCTTACAACCTGGTGTGTATAACCTGGTGTACAGTACACATATACTGTATGCCGTGTACTGTAAACCTCATTCCATTGTTGACAATCCACCAGGAAATGGTGATGTGTGCAGCACGTGGTCTAGCTGACAGGATAACACTGAGGTCAATTGTTTCAGTCCAGCGGGATCCCTGAAATAGTTTTCTCTTCATGTGGACAAAGAAGAGGTCACTAGGTGGGCCTGTTGTTGTGATTACCTGGTTCCAGAGGAAGGGCATTCTCGCCAGAGTTCTGGAAAAGCACTGTGTCCTGCCAAAGTACCGTGATTAGCACCCAACCCGTTCCTGTGTCGATGGTCAGGGCACGCTGGCGATTCCAGAAGCCAGAGCTATTCTTAACCACCAGGATATTTTTGACACAAAGAGAAAGGATGCATATTTAGAGCAGCATCCAAGAAGTGTGTATCATCAAGGGTGGAGTGTTTTTTCAGAAAGGGTGATGAAACAGATGAATAAGGTATAAATAGCTCAGAGTTGGGATAAATGGTCAAGGTTTTCTGCAGGTTTTCTGAAACACACCTTTAACCACAGGTCCACTGGGAATCCCATGGTTTTGGTTTTCCAGCGTGTGCCATCCACATTGAGTGAGTCTTGTGCCAGATGTGCCAGTGCTGCCAAAACAAGCATACTAGTCACTGCTTCAGAGCACTGGTTTATCTTGGCCATTAGCTGCATAACAAAAGCTTATAATTATCCACAAAATGAGCTCCACTCCCCAATTGTTAGACAAATAATGCATGGAAAGCTTCCAGATTTTGCAACGTTTGGCTGGTGGCGCATATGGAGAGAAGCCTAAGACCTTGGGCTGCTCTGTGGGGGGAAACAATTTTAGTGACGCACTTGCAGGAGTTTCTAACCGGTCCCAGCTCTTCTAAAAAAAAAAGGAAGAAAAAAAGACGGAACATATTACATAATTAATTACATTCTAAACGCACTCTTTGTTGTTCTTTTATAAAAAAATGAAATCGGGGTAGCCTATAAAATTTTCCCCGCTCATGTGTTTGCTTTTTCGCATGACTCAGCATTGTCTGTCCCGTGAGGTTTTCTTTATATATGCCCAGACATTATTTTTGGCTTTTTTCACCCTCCTCCTCCTATGCTGGCTGGAATTGGACCAGGAAGGCCGAGGAAGCCTGGCACTCGCCTGCGAGCCGCAGCCAGCTCAGGGCAGCTGGGATCTGGGGATGCTCCCTGCAGTTCTGGAGCTCTCTGGCAGTCCCCTCCTTCCCCTTCGCTTGCTTCGTCTTTTAACTGTCAGCCAGATTCACAGCACAATACAGCACTGCTGAACACCCACACATAGCCCCCAGCACACATACACACTCATAACAAAAAAAAATCATGTGCTTACAAGCAGGCATTTCCACCGAAATGCAATGCAATAGCAGCAGCAGCAACAACTTCTCAGTTTCTCAACCTAGTTTGGTGTGGCTCTCAAGATGAGGCAGTGTTAGGTTGACTTACAGCACACTGCAGTGCAGTCTTAGAGCATGAGACTTGGTGATAAAGTAGAGGAAGTAGACAGGCCTCAGCTTTTGTCATCCATCTCCACAGAAACAAGAAACATATAGCAAGACACTGGTGAACCCTGCAGCTGCAGATAAATTCTTTCTCCAAACGTACTACCACATCATTGCCCTTGTTCATGTTTGCTCAGCTGGATTCTGTAGAGTTGCAGGGTTTTTTTTTAAACACTTAGAAGTGTCACAAGAGTTTCTGAGTCTTGAAAGCTTCGACCATGGACAGGTAGTGCAGCGGAGCCCGATCGAGTGCCCCACCTAGTCACCCCAAACAGGCCTCCCATCAGC